GAGCAAGATGAAGGGTCTTTCTCCTGGAAGGGCTGTGAGCTTGCTAACGCCAGCCTTCCCTCTCTCTGTCTCTTCACAGTGTCAGAGTACCTTTCCTCCTGGTCAAGGCTAACACCCCAACCTGGCCCTGGAAACCATTCCCCACTACCCTGTCAACCCCCTGCACCTCCCTTATTCCCCACCCCACCTCTTCAGGGATCTGTCATCTAAATACAACCTTCTGGCCAGGTATGGTGGTTCCTGCCTATAATCCAGCACTTTGGGAAGTCAAGGCAGGAGAACTGCTCGAGGTCAAGAGTTCAAGACCACCTGGCCAACAAAGCACAAACCCATCTCTAAAAACAAATAAATACACCCTTGTGTAACATCACTAACCTCCCTGCTAGTACCTTCCCTTCACTATTTAAAAATGCTGACAATTTCTCCCTAGAAACTCACTCCTCCAGGTAGTAAATCATAAAATGCAGCTACAATAATGAAAATATCTTCAAACTGCAAAAGCAGAAAACAGAGGTACAGAGTCCAGAAACAGACCCAGCTGCATGCTAGAATGAAATTTGTGCCATGTTGGCATTTCAAATCAATGGGAAAAAGTGTGTCATGTAATAAATAAAATACTTTGAAGATAAATAAATCTTAAGCCCAATCTCCCCTCACAAGCCAAAAGTAACTTCCTGATGAATCGAATGTTTAAACATAAAATCATAAAACTACTAGAAGAAATCCCAGGAAGTCATTTCTAAGCAAGAGGAAGTCATTTCTAAGCAGAGATGCAAAATCCTAAATTTAAAGGAAAAGATTTTTAAATCTGTTAATGTAAAAACACAAAACTTACATTTACTCAAAATGTCATATCATTCAATAAATAACAGCAAAGGACAAATAAAAAGTCCGAATGACTTGCTGAATTCACTTATTGATTCTAGTATTGTCCTTTCCTTTTTCAATATTTATGCAAATCATCTCACCTTCTATTGCATTACCTAGAGCCTCCAAAACAATGTGGGAGTAATAAATAAGTGGAAATAACAAGTGTATCTGCCTTATTCCTCATTTTAATTCAGTTAACTTTTTTTGTTCTGTAATACTTGGCATGATATTTGCTTTTGGGTTTTGGCAAATCTTATCATATTTAGGTAGCTGTTTTCTCTGAAGTGAATATTGAATTATCACATGCCTTTAAATATTTATTAATATAATCTTACAGGTTTTCTCTTTTGTTACTGTAACTGATTATTATTTATAGTTTTTTAAATGTTGAACAATTCTTGCATTCCAGAATAAATCTACTTAATCTTGGTATTTATTCTTCTTTTTTTTTTTCTTTTGCTTTAATGTTAACACTTTAATATATTGACATTTTCGCTTACAAACGTATAATTTGCATATGTAGGGGAAAAAAATCAGTTCCGTAGACACAAGAGAATACTGGAGACAGAAAGCAATCACAGAAAGGTCAGTTCTGGGGAGAAAGTGGAACTGCATTCCATGGCTTGTACCTACATACACTAGGGAAGGAAAAAGAAATATTCTGCAGGATCAAAACTTGACATGGAAAATAAACTTGGGTCATTTTGTCTCAACTGAGAATCTTCTTATGATCCAGGTGCTACAATGAGTCCTGGATGGCCTAAAATGGGCGAAGTCTGGCCTTGTTCACAAATTATGATCCAAGATATTAACCACAGTTCTCCCTCTTCTCTTTAATATCCAAGACCCTGAAGTTGACTCAAGGAATGAAAAAAACAGAGCTAAAAGCACAATCAGATTAGCATATAGGTAATGTCAATGGCCAACTTCTTCATGGTATGGATCATTATTTAAAAGTACATATGGAAGCCGGGTGTGGTGGCTCACACCTGTAATCGCAGCACTTTGGGAGGCCGAGGCAGGCGCATCATGAGGTTAGGAGATTGAGACCATCCTGGTTAACATAGTGAAAACCCGTCTCTACTAAAAATACAAAAAATTAGCCAGGTGAGGTTGTGGGCGTCTGTAGTCCCAGCTACTCGGGAGGCTGAGGAAGGAGAATGGCGTGAACCCGGAAGGTGGGGCTTGCAGCGAGTCAAGATCGTGCCACTGTACTCCAGCCTGGGCCACAGAGCGAGACTCTGTCTCAAAGAAAAAAAAAAGCTACACATGGAAATAAAATGCTTACTCAGAACTGAACAGAAGTTTCTTCTAACTCAAGTACTTCTTGACTTGTATGAAGTGTAGCACTGTAAACAAAGGACATCGTTGAGAAACTGAGGCTACCAAAATGTTGGCATATGTGGGAGTTGTGGCCAAGAAAATGAAACATCTGAGCCCACCTTATCCCCAGTATGTATTTCAGACCAGGAGCAAGTCACTAATGACAGTGAATTTCCAGGCTCAACTATGGCTGCCTAATGAGGCTGGCCCCCCGGGGGTGGGGACTGGGGAGGGGACACACACGGGTGCCCAAGCTTCAGTCCACATCTTACCCGGTTCAGCCAGAAGCAGCCATGGGGCACAGGGAGACGTCTGCTTCGAGAGCATTTCAGCAGCGAAAGTCAGTACTCTCTGGTTCCTGTAATTCCCTCCCAGTAATTCCAAGTCCAAAATTACCACCAGTGCAACATGAAAAACTGTTCATAGTTTTTCAGTAAAGTGTACATACAGCTTTAATAACGATTATAATCTGAACAAAGCCATTCTTATTATACAGGATGGAAAATCCTCCAAGCAACATTTTAAACCATGGACACTAGCGTTGGCATACATTGCATCTATCCAGAGATGACATAAACACACATCCTTCCAGCTAGGAACAGACACTCTCATGTCACCAAGTCCCCTAGGATTGGCGATAAAAACAGACTTGTGGTCACCACTCGGTTTTTCTGGCGTCTGGTTTCATATGGAATCTTACGTAAGTTGGCCTCAGAGGGAAGTGGCTGAGCAGCGAAGCAAGACAGCATGTATGTAATTAGTCGGGCAAAATAACACATCCATGCTACCTGGAACGTATGTTAGGGAAAACAGTACCATATGGAGCGTGGGGCAGAGATATTCACTCAGCTAAACTGCCTTTGTAAAATCACATGTTTAAAGCATGCAGGACAGAAAACCAGAATAATTCAGAGCTTGAAAACATGAAATAACAGAAACGTGAATATTTGCAATACATACTTCCTAATATTGGAAATAAGAGCATTGGACAGAAAGGCAAGACTGGGTTTTCCAGAGACACACATTTTGGGGCTCAAAATTTCATGTTCTAAGCTTCTCTATCACAAAGAGATCAAGAACAAAAGCAAGGCTGGGGTCCTGGCCAGACCAAGTGGTACCTTGAGCCAGTCCGTGTGTCCTGAGGGCCCCTGGGCCCCATTTCCCATCCATAATCCAAGTTTGCTCAGCTATGGTCTGTCCTGGTACTCGGTGGACAGCCACAGGGCCCCGCTCCTGTGGGCCTTCAGAGGGACAGGAGAGAGCAATCCCCCCACAGTCCAACCCCCTAGAAGGCCTGAAATGGAAACGCTCTAACTAAGGCTCTCCTGCCCTCCCCCGCCTTTCTTCTAATACTACTCTCTCAACAAGTAGAAAAATAGGCTATAAGGAGGCTTAGGCAGCGATGCAAAACCCAGGCAGACACACACTCGAATAGCTCTCTCTGAATAAAGCGAATCTGCCTCCACACGCTTGTTTGTTATTGTTCTGGCTTCTCCAAGTTTTAAAGGATAAAACCCTAAAACTCAGAAGCTCAAATCAATTCCTAATGTGGGATATGTTTTCCAAATATGGCTACCAAAACCATACAAGAATAACCTGAGAATAAGAAGCTAAGGGCCGGGCGCAGTGGCTTACGCCTGTAATCCCAGCACTTTGGGAGGCCAAGGAGGGTGAGTCATGAGGTCAGGAGTTCAAGAACAGCCTGGCCAAGATGGTGAAACCCCATCTCTACTAAAAAAAAAAAAATACAAAACAAATTAGCCAGGCATGGTGGCACACGCCTGTAATCCCAGCTACTCAGGGGGCTGAGGCAGAGAATTGCTTGAACCCGGGAGGTAGAGGTTGCAGTGAGCCTAGATCGTGCCACTGCACTCAAGCCTGGGTGACAGAGCGAGACTCAAGCCTGGGTGACAGAACGAGACTCCGTCTCAAAAAAAAAAAAAAGAAAAGAAAAGAAAAAAAAGAAATTAAAAAAGGAAGCTAAGTTTAGGGAGATTTCTGAAGCATCATTTTTCAAAGGCGGGCTGCACCCTGTCGTCCTGAGGAGTTACCCTTGCTAGGGACCTGTGGAGCCCCAGAAGGCAGATCGGGGGGCTCTCACACCACAGCCTCGGAGAACTAACCGGAAGCTTACCAATCTACAACTCCTAAGGTAACATGCAACCAGTTCTGGTCTGTGGTTTGAAAAACTTAAATGGAAAGGAGCTGTAGATTTTCTTGCCACAATCACTCATGACTCATACAACACTGTATTACTGGCATAATATGAAAATAAATTATCCCTTAAGCACTACACCTAACTCTAAAAAGAAAATCCCTTTCAAAACAGGTATGCTCAAATAAAGTATTCTGAGACTTCCGGAAGGACGGTCCTAGAATGAGCCAGTGCTCTGGAGAGCCCATGTTTGAACAAAATAGCACAGTTCTGGCCGGGCACGGTGGCTCACGCCTGTAATCCCAGTACTTTGGGAGGCCGAGGTGGGCAGATCACAAGGTCAGGAAATCAAGACTATCCCGGTCAACATGGTGAAACCCCATCTCTACTAAAAATACGAAAATTAGCCAGGTGTGGTGGCACGTGCCTGTAATCCCAGCTACTCGGGAGGCTGAGGCAGGGGAATCACTTGATCCCTGGAGGCAGAGGTTGCAGTGAGCTGAGATCGAACCACTGCAATCCAGCCTGGGCGACAGAGCAAGACTCCGTCTCAAAAAAAAAAGAAAAAAAAAAAAAGAAAAAAATACCACAGTTCAAACCTTTCTCTGTTGTACTTATGTGGATTAGTTACAATTATGATGTCACTACTTTCAAAGGAACGATTAAAATTATTGTTAAAAACATTTGTCACAAACAGAAATGCCCTGCAAATCATATTATTGCACACAGGGTTATCAGAAGCTATGCACATCAAGATCTTACAGCCTCTAGAAGACCCAGAACAGAGACCCTAAGGCCATGACCATAGCCACTCCCACCAACATGCCCAGTGCCAGGTCACTGTCATTGTCTGGATATCACTCTTGAATGATGACTTGGTTAGCAGGCTGTTGTCCATCAAGTCCTGCATAGGAGTCCTGGCAGGGCACAGCATATGCCTGTCCATTAGCAGCATAGACAGTTTGAGTTCCTGGCAGGCACACACCACTGTATGGCTCACGGCCCTATTCCTCAGTGGCTGGAGCAGCATGGGGGAGGAAACCACGGGTGTCTCATGAATCATGACGGTGGAGCCCACATAGGCTGTGTTTGTCCTGGAATCTTGGAGTGTAAATTTCCAGGCCAAGCAATCACCTGTGTTTTCTACACAAAGACTAATCGCTTTCCCATCTCACCTAACAATCTGCAGCATGAAGTCTTTTTCCATATATATAAAATATATATCAATATATATTTTACATTGATTATACTATATTATCAATATATATTTTATATTGATTATACTATATAATCAATATAAAAATAATCTCTTTCTATTAATGAGGTTTTAATATATTTTTTCTTATATATATATATATATACTTTTTTTTTTTTTTTGAGCAGAGTCCTCCATTCTGTCACCCAGGCTGGAGTGCAGTGGCATGATCTCGGCTCACTGCAACCCCCATCTCCCAGGTTCAAGCAATTCTTCTGCCTCAGCCTCCCGAGTAACTGGGATTATAGGTGTGTGCCACCATGACTGGCTAAATTTTGTATTTTTAGGAGAGACAAGGTTTCACCACATTGGCCAGGCTGGTCTTGAACTCCTGACCTCAAGTGATCTGCCTGCCTCGACCTCCCAAAGTGCTGGGATTACAGACGTGAGCCACCGCTCCTGGCAGTATGCAGTCTTTTGACTTTCCATCCAGAGGCTGACTATCCTGACATTCCTGCCCGGTGGGGATGCTGAGGCATTCCACTTGCATGTGGACCTTATCCTCAACACTCTGCCGAGTCTGCTCATCACAACAGGTCAGGTACCATCTGACCACAGGTCAAACCAATTCTTGTTCCAGAGCTTCAATATAGCACTGTGTCGCAGCAACCAGCCACTCTTCACACCATCTCTCCACCCGCCAGCCAGAGTGGAGAATGCAAAGACGCCACTGCGGTTCCTCAGCTCCGACTGTCACACCAATGTCTACTCTTCTAATGCAATACTGCATTTGGTTTGTGAATATTTGATCTAGAATTTTTACATCTATACCCATAAGTAAAATCAGCCTATAGTTTTACTTTTGAAATATCTTTATTGGCTTTTATAAAATGTAATGCTAGCTTTCAGAAAATGAATTGGAAAACAGGAAAATAATGTGTTTCATAAGACAATTTGGGGTGCTTTTCATCTACTTCTAAAGAATGATCATTAAACTCCTTTGAGCCAAGGAGACCTTGAAAAATGTAATGAAACCTTTGGACTTGAGCCCTAGAAAATAGTATGTGCTCACTTAAGCTTAATTTAGCATACAATTTACAGGAGTTCTTCAGATTTTACTCTGCATTACAACCCTGGCCAATTAGAATGAGAATGAAATGACGTGTTTACTTTTCCATTTTCTCACTAAACCATAAGGATCATAAGGAGAGGGACTGAGTATGTCTTAGTCACCATCCAGCACTTAATGTAGCAGGCACTGTTTAGAATCTTGATATGCTGTTTCACATAATCCCTCCAGCAACCTTTCAAGACAGGTTTATTGGCAAAGTCACCTGACATAAACCACCTGGTAAACAGCTTTCTTTCCAGTTCTCAGAATGCCCCTGAGCTAGTTGAAACCACAGGCATTAAACATAAATGGGCTAATGCACCTTGAGAATAATGTAGGCGTTTGAATAGAAACGCACTTACCAGCTTAGAACTATCTGAATATGAATGAACTTTCTTTTTTTATTCCTGTGGTAGGAATTTCAGGCCCCAATGCCTGGACCCAACAGTAAGAATCAGGACCACATCTCCACAGCCTCTAGGAAGAACCCGTGTGCATCTCTTCAGGCCAGCTCGCAATGTATCCAGGCATACAGAATTCTGTACCTTCCCTATGTCTTGTCTCTGTTGAGATGCCCCTGAAGAAATGCTGTTCTTCTAACTGGATGAACAGAGCCAATGTACTACAATAAAAATACATATTTAGTCTTAGTCCACAGTTCCTGACACATGAGCTTCTAAGACCCATAGAATCTCTGGTACGACTAAGAGTGGTTTTCTTGGACCTAAAGACAGAAATGTCATTCGACCCAGCAATCCCATTACTGGGTATATACCCAAAGGAATATAAACAGTTCTGTTATAAAGATACATGCACACATATGTTCATTGCAGCACTATCCACAATAGCACAGCTATGGAATCAACCTAAATGCCTATCAGTGACAGACCGAGTAAAGAAAATGTGGCACATGTACACTGTGGAATACTATGCAGCCATAAAAAAGAATGAGATCATGTTCTTTGCAGGGACATGGATGGAGCTAGTGGCCATTATCCTTAGCAAACTAACCCAGGAACAGAAAACTAAATACCACATATCTTCACTTATAAGTTACAGCTAAATCATGTGAACACATGGATACCTAGAGGGGAAAAATACACACTCGGGCCTACTAGGTGGCGAGGTGGGAGGGGGGAGAGGATCAGGAAAAATAACTAACAGATACTAGGCTTAATACCTGGGTGATGAAATAATCTGTACACCAAGCCCCATGACACAAGTTTACCTATGTAACACACCTGCCCTTGTACCCCTGAACTTAAAATAACAGTTAAGGGCCGGGCACTCAAGCCTGTAATGCCAGAACTTTGGGAGGACAAGGTGGATGGGTCACTTGGGGCCAGGATTTCGAGACCAGCCTGGCCAACATGATGAAACCCCGTCTCTACTAAAACTACAAAAATTAGCTGGGCATGTTGGCGCACAGCTGTAGTCCCAGCTACTCAGGAGGCTGAGGCACGAGAATCGCTTGAACCTGGGAGGTAGAAGTTGCAGTGAACCCAGGTTGCGCCCCTGCATTCCAGTCTGGGCGAGAGAGTGAGACTCTATCTCAAACAACAACAACTAAAATAAATAAATAAATAAATAAACAATTTAAAAAAAAAAAAAAGCGTGTCTTTCTATATGTTAATGAGATGACTCATGACTAGCAGCTCCTAGACAGCCTCAGGATGGGAGCGCTTTGCCAGAAAGCTCAACGCATGATTACAGGATTGGAACTTTCAGTTTCACACCCTGATCTTCAGGGAGAAGAGAGAGCCAGAGATTGAGTTCAACCACCAATGGCCAAAGATTTAATCCATCATTCCTAAAAACCCCTAAACAAGGGGCTTCAGGGAGCTTTGAGGTTAGTGAACTCATGGAGGTGCTGGCGGAATAGGGAACCCGTTTGCTGTAGCTTGCCCTGTGTGTCTCTTCATTTGGCTATTCTGAGTTGTATCCTTTATAACAAACCAGTAAATGTAAGTAAAGGGTTTTCCTACATTTTTCCAGCAAATTCTCAAACATGAGGAGAGGGGCATGGAAACCCCTGATTTATAGCCAGTTAATCAGAACCAAAGTGCAGGTGCAACCCAGGACATGTGATTGGCATTTGAAGTGAGGCCAGTTTTGTGGGACTGAGCCGTTAACTACGGGCCTGCACTAACTCCAGGTAATTATTATCAGACTTGAATAGAATTGTAGATCACCCAGTTGTCCGAAGAACTAGAGAACTGCTTAATGTGAGGGGAAGAGAAACCCACACACATTTGGTATCAAAAGTTTGTGAGTAAACAGATTTTAGGCACCAGTGAGCTGCTGGAACAGTGCCCCCTCCACTTCCCCAGGTCACTAATGAAGTGGAGGAAAGCTACAGCCTCTTTCTCCCTTCTTTTTTCCTGCTAAACTAAAAAAGACCGGGAGCAGCATCTGAATTTGTTTTTGTTTTACTCATATCCCACGCAGCTAGCTTATCTGTACAAAGGCCCCATGCACTTAGAGAAAAACATCTTGCTTCAACCTCCACCTGTGGAACTAGAAATTTTGCTTTTAATCCAGCTATTGCAGTAGATTTTACGCTACCTATTTTTCAAATAATAACATTGAAACTTAACATTAATTGGTCCAAGTTCACACAACATTGCAGTATCAGGGCCCAATGTGGTAAGCCTGCTACAGCGGTTACTGCTTCAGGGGACCACCACTGCCTCACCCCATATACAAGGTGTTCAGTCATTCTCCCCACACGCATATCTTTTTCTAAATCCACCCACTTTGGGGAACTTTCTCTGGTTCAGTTATTTCATTGAGGAGGCAGAGATGGCTCACCCAGAAAGTCACACCGGAGTGGGGAAGAAGCGACAGAAATCCAAGAGTAGGAATCCTTCTCCCAAGCACACAGTGAGAACTAGGTTGGCAAAAGCTGAGTGTCATTAAGCTTTTAGTCTCCCACATGTGTCTTATCAGGCTCCAAAACAATTCTTTGTGGAACGTCAAGGAAGAAAAGATTACTTGATAAATAGTTGTGTCTTCCCCTTCCCTAATCTCATTTACCTACCTCCAGAAACATGTTTCATTCTGACTGGGCAAGTCTTGGCCTAGACATTCTGTGATCTCAGACCTCCAGACTTATCAAACTGCTTTGGGATTAAGCTTGGTCTTTCTTGCCAATTATAGATTCCTTTCTCTGTTAAAACAGCCCTCTAGCTCAGAAGGGAATTTCAACACCATCCCTGGACTTTCCCTTTGGGCGGGTCTAGGAGCACTCAGCAAGATGATTGGTTCACTAACTGTGATTGTGACAATGGGTTTTCAGTGTGAATCTTTTCTAAAGGAGTAGAATTCTGAGGCACCTGTTAGGAAGCGTGCTCGGACTTGTGAATCTCCAAGACAGGCACTTATTTTCTCATTTAGGCCTCTTGTGCAACTGGCCTCATTTTTTAAATTAACACATTAGTTTTTCCCCCACACCAATAGTTTCTACTCTTCCTAGAAAATGTGATGCTAACACAGAAAAACAATGGCAGACTTAAGTCCATAGAAGATATTACCTAGCTGATTAGTAGTAATAATAGTAGCAAACACTTAGGTAGCACTTACTGCCCATCAGGTGCTGTTTTAAGTTCTTTCTATATATTAACTCCTTTCATCAGCACAGCAACTCTATGAGGCAGGTCTAGTGTTATTCCCACTTTACACATGGGGAAAACTGCACCACAGAGAGGTTAAGTAAATTGTCCAGCTATTAAGTGGTGGATTTGAAATCAGAGTCTTTACCCTTAATTACTACACAATTTTGCTTCTAATAGAGTGTATTTCTGAATAAGCTTCTGTAAGGCAATGGTCTCAGGCTTCAGTGGAAACCATAATTCAGACCTCAGGAGCCCTACCATTCTCCAGCAGACATGGCATGCCCCAAACATAAACCCGAAAGCATGAAAAAGGCTTTTGGTCAACTACTGATTTCTGGACATCTTTGCAGTTGTCTTTTTGTGAGAAAAAAAATAAAAAAGATGGAGAAAATGAGTATGCATGCTTGCAGCAAGACACTAATTTTGAAAAATTATAGGAAAAAGTGTGATTTTGTTAAATGTAGTTGGTTATTTTCAGAAGATTTATAGAAAGTCAAAACAAGCTAGGCACGGTGGCTCACACCTGTAATCCTAGCACTTTGGGAGACTGAAGCAGCAGGATCCCTTGAGGCCAATTGTTCAAGGCCTGCCTGGGCAACATAGTGAGATCCCATTTCTACCAAAAAAAAAAAAAAAAAAAGCCAGGTATGGTGGCATGTGCCTGTAGTCCCAGTTGCTTGTGAGGCTGATGCAGGAGGACTGTGTGAGTCCAAACTCAGGAGTTCAAAGTCACAGTAAGCTATAATCACACCCCTGCTCTCCAGTCTGGGCAACACAGTGAGATCCTGTCTCTGAAAGAAAAAAAAGAAAAGAGAAGAAAAACCACCTAAATCTCTTCTTAAAAATATCTAATGTCCTTTAGTAACAGAAAAATAATAATTTGTAATTTGTGCATCATGTATTTTTATGAAAACAGTGTCCTTAGCCTTGTTTCATTACAAATACAAACATAAAATAACAATAACAAAAAATACCTTACACAAATTTCAAACCATAGGAGAGACTTACCTAAAAACAAGTAGACAGATTGTTTTTCCTGCCCTAACTCTCTAATCTAGGATTCCCAACATACAGGGAAAAATGGGTGGCTATACTGTCTATTAGATTACTACTTTGGAGGCACTGGAGTACAATTTGTTGTTGTTTTATTTTTTCACTATGATATGCACCATATGTATCCAAGTACTTACGACATAAACAATTTAAACACTAATTATTAGTGAACACTTATTAAAGCCACCACCATTTGTGACTAAATTCTGGGCCAAGGAATATAGATGGAAAAGATATACTACTTGTAGACTTGGGCCAAAAAGAGTTCCCAGATGGGCTTCTCGCTCCACTCATCCGTTCCCTGGATGATGCTGAGGTGCAGGTATTAGCTTGCTGGGACTACCATGACAAAATATCACTGACTGGGGGTGCTTAAAAAACAGAAATGTATTTTCTCACAGTTCTGGAGGCTGGAAGCCCATCACCGAGGTGCTGGCAGGTTTGGTTTCTCCTAAAGCCTCTCTCACTGGCAGGCAGACAGCTGCCCTCTCGCCATGTTCTCACATGTGCTTTCCCCTCTGTGTGCACATCCCTGGTGTCTCGATATCTCCAAATTTCCTCTTCTTCTTATAAGAACATCAGTCACATTAGATTAGGGCCCATCCTAGCAGCTTTATTTTAATTTAATCACGTATGTAGAGGCCCTGTTTCCAGCTATAGTCACATTCTGAGGAACTGCGGGCTAGAGTTTCAACATATGAATTTGGGGAAGATACAATTCAGTGCATAACAGTGACCTGGACCCAAAATATGGAGCCACAAGATGAAAGGATCCTGGGTCCTCAAATCGCCCCTTGGAAGAGAGAAGCCTAGAAGATCTCTCAACTAGGAACAATAGCATCAGACTTTTAATGAGCAACCCAGGAACTTTTAATTTTGTTAAACAACTTATATTTTGGGATTATTTATAACAGAATCCTCCACTGACCAAATGAAACAAAAGCTCAACCATCCCCTGCTGAGTGTGTCTAATTAAATCAGGTTTTAATATACTGGCTTCCGGTGAGGAGAAAGGGTACAAATGAAGAGAGATAATTCGAGACCTGCAGTCTCTGAAATTGATTTGGTGAAACTGACCATGGACATTAGATTCTGTAATGAACTAGTACATTAATTAATGCTAAGTGGTATGATTCATTTGAATTACGTTTTATTTAAGTGCAATGAATAGTTTGGGTTCTTATCGGTACCGGAAAAAAAATTCAGAATTAACACATCTGAATTGGTTCATTTGCAGTTGTTGGGTAAATCGAGCTAGTCCCATATTCTTGGGTAAGCGTATTTCTGGAGAGAAAAAGAAAGAAAAAGAAAAAGCTTCATATTCTGACAGCGTTATGATCTCTTTGAGGTCAGTTGAAGTGTGACTCCCAGAAGCATAGGCCCGCCAGCACCCACTATTCTTCTGTTCAGAGACAGTCAATTAGGATTTGAAGGGAAGAAAAAAGGAATTGGAAAGGCAGCCTCTTGGCAGCTTAAATTTCCTAGGCTGCTGAAAGGGGAATCCTCCACAGTGAGCAGTGAGATGCCGAAAAAAGATGGGGTATGGGCCGGTGTTGCTCACGAGTAGCCCATGGAGGGGAAGGACCCTAAGTTATGTGGAAGGTGAAGAATGCTTCTGAATAGAGTGTGGGGTCTGTAGTGGATCCATGGAGGTTCATCAAAGCTTCCTGGTGCTGGAGACAGACAGCCCCTGCTTCAGTTGGTCCCCTTGTCCCCAGCCTTACTAAACTGTTCCCCTCTTCAAGTCTTTTCTGTCTTGGACAAGTAGATTTACCTAATCTTCAGCGATGGAAAAACTGATTCACCTTGGCCACCTATTCTTCTCAGTGTTTTGCATCTTCCTCTTGGCTGTTAGCTTTTGAAACTGAAAGCCAAGAGTTTGATTCTTATTTCTGGGGTTTTGCTATGACAACTGTTCCTTGAGGCAACAGAGCTTGTTTTCTGTCTGCCCAGCAGCAGGAGGTTCAAGGCGTAACAGCGAATATCACACACACCAAAACCTCTCTCAATATATCAAAGCAGATTCCTGCCAAACATCAAAATAAAGAGCCGGAAAATTTTTTACCCCTTTTATGTTTGTTTTTGGGAAAAAAACAACCAAAGAAACTGCACATTATCTAAGGAAAGATTTACAGACAAATGCAATCTGTCCTCTCATGGGAATCCCTGGCACAAAATCCAACGACTGATGTGGTCACACCGCGGTTGACAGACAGGCTGCGGCTATCGGGTGAAATAGAACTCCTCACAGAGACCAAACAAGGTTTGTGGGTTACCAGACACTGGTGTCCTCTTACAGACAAAGTGCAGTCTTGTCAGATGACATTCCAAAGGCACATGTCATCTTGGGTGTTCAGGTTGAAGCGACCATTGTAGAGAAGTCTCCTGTTTAGATGACAAAACAGTATCAAGCACAGCTTAGAAATTCTACATTTGCCAGCCTGGCCAACATGGTGAGACCCATCTCTACTAAAAATACAAAACTTAGCCAGGCATGGTGGCACGTGCCTGTAATCCTAGCTACTCGGGAGGCTGAGGCACGAGAATTGCTTGAACCCAGGAGGCAGAGGTAGCATTGAGCCAAGATAGCACCACTGTACTCCAGCCAGAGACGACAGAGGGAGACCCCACTCAAAAAAAAAAAAAAAAAAAAAGAGACCGGCACGGTGGTCACATCTATAATCCCAGCACTTTGGGAGGCGAGGCAGATGGATCACCTGAGGTTGGGAGTTTGAGACCAGTTTGACCAACCATGGAGAAACCCGCTGCTCTACTAAAAATACAAAATTAGCCGGGTGTGGTGTTGCTGCCTGTAATGCCCAACTATCAGGAGGCTGAGGCAGGAGAATCGCTTGAACCTGGGAGGCAGAGGTTGCTGTGAGCTGAGATCGACCATTGCATTCCAGCCTGGGCAACAAAAGCCAAACACATCTCAAAAAAAGAAAATAAAATAAATTCTACATTTGACATAGAATTAAACCATTAGCCAATTCAGAGTGGCTTATTTCCCTCTGTTTTATAGAAAATTGACCTAGATAAAAGTCAAACTCATGGTTTGTGTTTAAATAATTAAAAACTTGGAATGATGTACAAGTAGCAGTAACTGACCAAGCTTCAAGAACAAAATAGCCTAAAATGCTCTTATTTTAAGACAATTTGGGCCAGGTGTGGTGGCTCACTCCTGTAATCCCAACAGTTTGGGAGGAGGCCGAGGCGGGTGGATCACTTGAGGTCAGGAGTTCAAGACCAGCCTGGCCAACATGGGGAAAGCTCGTCTGTACTAAAACTACAAAAATTAGACAGGCATGGTGGCACGCACCTGTAATTCCAACTACTTGGGAGCCTGAGGCAGTAGAAGTACTTGAACCCGAGAGGTGGAGGTTGC